ACAGGGAGCGTGCCAGCTGGGAGGAGCCTGCCAATGTGGCCTCTCACCTCTCTCCGCAGCCATGGTCTCCTCCTCTTCCGGGGGCACAGGCTACAGTGGGGGCGGAGGCCTCTGCGTGGGCAGCGGCGGCTATAGCGGCGGGCTGTGCTATGGCGGGGGCACCAGTGGCTTCAGTTCCACCAGCAGCCGTGGCACGGGCGGCGGCAGCAGCTCCAGCATGCGCATCATCACCAAGACCTCGTCCACCAAGAAGAGTTACAGGAGCTAAAGGGCCCCACCGCCTCAGCCCGGCTGCCTCCCCCTCATGCCCCCCAAACTCTCCAGCCTGGAGACTTGACGCTCGGCTGGTCCCACACCCACAGGGCCAACAGCAGGAGGCTCAGGGAGCGGGGACACAGCCTGGGAGTTCTAGGTACCCTGCCCATCCCTCTGCCTCCAGACAGGTGCCCACAGAGGTAGACCCCTTGCTCTTGATCTCAAAGCCTCCCCCTACCTCCCCGCCCCCACCCCCACCCAGGCTCTAAAGGCATTTGTTCCAACTGGCACTGACTGCATTGCTTCAGGCTGGGCTAGGATCTGCGGGGATGCAGAGACAAGGGCAGCCTTTGTCCTTAAGAAGCCTCCAGATTATGGGTGTCATGGGCCCTTTGCCTTCATGGGATAGGGGAGGGGGGCAGGACTTATCATCGACCTTGATGCCCCCCCTGCAATGCTCGGTGCCCCTTGGTGCTCGCTCAGTGCAGTCCGGGCCAGAGTGTCCATTTGTCTATTCCAATGGCAGACAGGGACTGTCCTGGTCAACGGTGCCACCTGGTTGGCTTCCTTGCCTCCTGCTGTCCCGCCACCCCACCCCACCCCACCCCAGGTCCCTAGCAGAGGGACCGCATGTGAAATCAACGGCCCGGAAAGCATATTCCATTCTTGATGATGCATGCCCACACGGACGCTTGTATGGAGAACTCCCAACTCTCCGTGGGTTGGGACTGGCATGAAAAAGAATGCTGCCCAAGCCCAGCCCTACCAAACCTGCCTCTTGGAAGGCAGTCTGGAACTTGCTCTCTCTGAACAGAAAGGTCCCAGTGATGAGGGGTGAGCGGACGAAGCCATGGGAGGGTGTGAGGAAGGTAGTCCCACACAACACACTTGCTGTGCATGCCCCGGGACACAGTCCCATTGGTGCCGGTAGAACATGCTGTGTGGGGCTCCTTTGACCCAGGAGCCCTCCGTCTCAGGACTGTTCCTCTTTGCTTTGAGCTAGCCTTGTCTCCCCAAGGACACAAGAAAAGCATCCTTGTCCCTGTCCCCTGGTCTTGGAGCACTTCTCTCCCAGCCCCCTGCCTCTCCTCCCCTTTCTCTGTCTAGCTCTTGCTCCCTCCGCCCCCACCCTCCCTTCACTCTCTCCTGACTCCTCTGTGTAGCTTTTCCCAAGGGACCTGCTGAGAAGGCAGGGGGAGGCTGTGGTGGACCCAGGGAGGGGTGGGCTAGGCACCCGAGATCTTTGGGAGGCTGGTCTTCGTGGGGCCAGCTTCCCTGTTTAGTCTGAGCTGTTTGCTCAAGGCCGAATGCCCTCTGACCGCCAGTAGCTGCAGTCTGTGTGCCTGCCGTGGAGCTGACCTGACACAAAGGCTGGAGAGCCAACCCTTTCAGACAACACGTCCCGCCTGCTCCATGCACTTTAACCCTTTTCTGAAGAGGCAGCCCGCTCCCTCTGCTTGCCCATGTCCTGAAATCACTTCAATAAAAATGTCCCCTGACCTCCCCCATGTGGACTGAGTCTGTTTCTCTTACCAAGAGAGCCCTGGGAGGGCATTGCTGGGAACAGTGCTACCCCGACTCCTGTGCTCCGGTCCTGAGCCCCACGGAACCTGGCATGGTCAGTGCCAGTGAGGGTCTGCCTGGATGTGGTGGGGGTGTCTCTCCTGTGTCTAGTTAGCCCTTCCTCCCTGTTCTTCCACTACTGAGCTTGTTCCCTTGGGGGGATGAAGGCCATGGTGTCGGGGGTCCGGCTCTCTACAAAACCACTACCCTTTACACTGTTTCCTGGGCCCACCCCTGTGGCACCATGGGAACCCTTTTCCATGATATCATTCGACAGGACAGCGCTCGGCCCCGCCCCGGCAGGCGGGCACACACACACACACACACACACACACACACACACACACACACACACACACTCCTTCTGCAAAATGCCATCGCCCCATGACCTTGGGTTACACCCCTCACCTCCCTAAGCCCTCCTCTTCCTCCCAGGACTACTTTGGACTCCAAGTTGAGATGACCAAAGACCCTATTATTGTTAGCTGGCGCTGAGTCAACCCCAAACTCAGGGCAGCCCCTAGCCCCACCCCACCCCCGCAGGACAGAACACAGCGCTGCCCAGTCCCGGCCCACGATCCCCAGGTCTTTCTTGCTCGTCTAAGTCTATAGCTCCTCTGAAGCCAGTCCCGCATTACAGCAACAAACGCCTGGGAAATGGAGAGGGACAGCGAGCAGCCTCCTCCTCGCAGACAG